ACATGTATTTTTAAATAATTTGCATGGACAGCCCGACGTGGATTAAATCAAAGTGGATTTTTCAGTGGTGAAATACTAGTAGTGTGTATAAGGAAAATGTGACACTGTTGTCACCAAGTTGCATTGATGTTGTCATGACGATGCTATGGGGCGACGCCCTCACTGGCGGAGTCCACATGCCGTCATGACAACGCATGCAAAGTATTTAGACTATTGGTTGAACGATTAACACTGTCGTTTATAAAAATGGGGGGTTCCAGCGTATTAAGGGAGAAGAGGACCGTAGGCGTATGGTGACGATTGTAGTGGTAATAAATATCTGGCTGTACTATACTGCTGATGTTTTAATGATTGAATGGTGCGTATAAGTGTCGAGCGATCCTAGTGTACCACTCACTGCCTTGCGAGTTACCCATTCCCCGTTACAACCACTTCCCGTATATTCAACCTGACGAACCATCCACCCTTAACAACCCCTGATAGACGAAACCCGCACTGTTTACACTGTGGTTATTGTTATGTTTTCATTTAACTTAATTTAACAGACAATACTAAGTTTAGTTGGTTCTGTAGTTTTACAAATTAGTTTCTGTACACATTCCGCCGTAATCTGATTCCTGAAATTCAACTTATCGTTTAATTCTCTATTGTTTGGTGATTATGTTGGCTCGCAATTGATATTTTCTATTTCACAATTATATTTCGGAATAATTTCAAAATTGAAATTCGTGTAATTGTAATTTTTGGCCAAAATAGATATACAGATTTTTTTTCAAAACCGGATGTGTCAAAATATCAAACTCTTCATTTTTTTATGAATATGTTTTTTTTGTGTGTATTTTTGGTCAAAATTGATATTTTTGACTTATCCCACAAAAGTAATAATGCGTTGTAATTTGCAATGCCGTTTGTGATTGAGTGCTACATTGTTTATTTTGAGTCTTAATCTCAAAATCTATTTATCTATTTTTTCAGAATTTTTCCGCATTGCAGATACCAACTCAGAAAATATATCGACAAGGCTGTAATTCGGTGGTAGTTCGATGTAGTTCGGGATAGCTCGATGTAGTTCGGGATAGCATTCCATCTGCTGCCTCATATTACCTTGAAGTATTTATAGTATATAAGAAAGTAGCGTATGTTAATTGTGCCGTCACTGTTAGTGTAGAAAATGTTCAGCCAATCGTATAGCTCGTTCTATTTAGTATAAGGGATATATAAATTAAATTTCGTATCCGTGTGTGACGGTATCGGGCATAAGACTTTGAGGTTGTTTTATCATTTTTACGTGAATAGGCGGCCTTACAAATTAATATATGAAATGACATAACCATTGCCTGGCAATTTTCAGCCAGTGTTGAATTTTCTCTTCCATGTTTAGTACGAATCAATGTAATTTTATATATAGGTGTGTGTACCAGGCTACAGTTCCTGTCGATGAATATTAACGATGTCTCGTGCCAGTATATGATGTATATATCCAGGTCCAGATTTAATGCAGTAAATCAAAAATCGGCTATCACTAATCGCGATTTTCGATTTATTAGTATCTAATCCAAGTTTGCATAGCTTAGGGTTATAGGACGGGGTGAGGTGTGGTAACGTATACAACACCATACAATAAAGTTACAATTTATATAATGTAATTTATACTACAAATAACACTTTTGAGAATGTTGAAAGTATAGGCTGTAAAACTAACCTGTCTCACGACAGTCTAAACCCAATTAACGTTCCCTGAACAATCCAATGCCCCACGGCCGAGAACACGTAGAAGCAACACTTTTGCTAGAGCGTCCTCTAGCGACGAAGCGCTTCTACGACGCGATGGTTGACATCAATGAATATTTTGTTGAGAAATGTCCCATATTGTAGATGATGAACGACAATACTGTTTTCGACTTTGAATTTTACGACATCGCCTTCACCTGTCTACGTCATTTGACGTCACAAAACTGTTTTGTTATTGGATGGCGCAACTTATAAAATGGTGTATTTTTCATCTTGGAGTGACTCACGTGAAGCAAGGTCACTGGCCGAGATTATGTTTGAGCTTAACTCCATCCAATGTACTTTTTGTTACAAATCCACGAACATATTATCATGCCCGTATATGTGTCGAATTATATGTTAATGTTTTCAAAGAAGTGAATGTTTGAAAACAATGTTGTCATTAATCCTTTATCATGTGAGATTTGTATTTGGTGAGCTTAGTACTCTTCAATCTATGCATAAATTACGTCAAGTGTTTTTATTTGCCTTGAATAAAAGACACATTGTCACTAATGTCATTATACATATGAGATGGTTTTATTCGAGAAAAGGTAATACAGTGCTAGAAGAAAATATATTAACATCCAGATGATAAAATGCCATCTTCAAACATAAATATTGTTGTAAATATCTCAGCGCTTCGCACTTTCACCAGATCCCAGCCCCAGGGTAGCCGTTATTTTCCGTGTACTCACGTAGGGGCACGATAACTATCATAATATTTGACGTTGCAACCAAAACATATAAATCATAATGTCTTTATCAAGATGCAATCTTACACAAATAATATATTAAAATCAACGCAAACAATTCAAAGTTACCCGCATGTACTATAAGTTATATTGTTATTTCATTCAGTATTGATTTTGGTCTCCTGGGTTATAAAACGCCCTCTATATGCCAATTATAATAATGAAAGTATTACCCTGGGGCAATTCTTGCGTCGTCCCTACGATAAACATTCCTGCACTGAGAATTGCACACAACGATTTGAGAGATACAAAAAATGCAATGTGTTAATTCGGTTTTCAGTTTTACTTTAACAACAATATATGTCGTATGCCTTGTGTACCGAGATATGGTCCATAGAGGGCGACCCTTTGACCCCTAAAGATGGAAGAACTTCTGTGGTTGTATAAGTTCCGGAACACCACACGGGTTTTGTCGTGATTCATACAGGTAGGTTTGTCTATGAGTACTTGTACTTGTAGCAGTTGTCGATTGCCACGAGAACGCAATCAGGTAGAAATGGCTGTTTGTTTTCGCTAAATGTACTCCACTATATAATGCGGCAACCATGCTCTCACCATGCTTTACCGGACAGTTGTGTATCGGGTGTCAGGGTCGAACGAACGATTTACGCCGCCCATCGGAATTTACGTGTGAATTTGGATGCCATCGGCGACTCACTGCAGGAATAAATAGTATATATTTTTGAATTTCAGACTTTGCACACACCGTTTTAAAAATAGTGTGCACCGCACACTACCCGTGATGACCTTGAGACTTGTGACGGGAGCTTTGTACCGATGTCAATGCAGACACTGGTTAATTTCAATGGGGTTTGTTTGAACGAACGTGTATATCTTTGTCCAGCCTGGGGGCGGATCATTAATTTTTTTAGGGGTATGTAAACCAGGGATTCCGGGCATTACACCTTAATTTAAGAGAAAGCATAAAAAACGTCTGTGCGATGCTGGAATCAGGGTATGAATTATATATATAGATTAATAAATTGCAAATTTAGAAGTAGCCTATTAAACAACTTGAATAATCTGAAATACATCTCTGCTATTTGAAATGTCCAATGTGAAAAAAATTCAACCACAATATTGAAGTTGATAATAGTAAAAACAAAACTATAAAATACAAACAAAATCTTAAAATCGTGTAATTATTACGCAAACTATATATTTAATATCAGAGTATTATTGTTCAAGTGCTTCCTGATACAGTATTGACCATGTAGAAAAAATAGAATTGTTGATATTGGCTGTCGAGGTGTTCCCTAATACATAATAATGGCTATTTATGAAAAAAAGGCATTTCTAATTTTTGAAATTGACTATGGTGACCCATAGCACGACAGTGGCCTTATAATACCAACATACATCGTCGTGAAATGTTATTTGCTGTCACTTGCCACTATATATAGCACCAACACATATAAATGTTGACATCGCCTGCCAATGTGAATCACAACACAACATTGGCTATATATACGTGTTTTGCCTTTCGATGAATACACAATATATATGGTGGCATATCATCATTGCTCACCGTCTTACACCCCATGTTTTATTTTCCATCAGCTTGACGAATTCCTGATGAATTGACGAAGATACCTCCGGTACACTTAATCAACATGGAATCCGTAACAACATTCGACTTAGCCCTGTCAACTGCAGAACCTGTTACGAAGGAATCAGAATGCCATATCAAGAAAAAAAAACCTGTTACTCCTGTGACGCATAGCAAGGTAGATGAAATTGAATATTTTCAAATGATAAATACAAACGGCAAGAAAAATAGGTCGGGATGCTCTGAGATAAGAAATACCAAAAACAAGAAAAATGAATCGGGATGTTCTGAAACGGGGAATCCAACAAGCAAGGTAGATGGATCGGGATGTTCTGAAATAGGCAAGGAAGATGGATCGGGATGTTCTGAAATGGGAAATCTAAAAAGCAAGGAATATGGATCGGGATGTTCTGAAATGGGAAATCTAAAAAGCAAGGAAGATGCATCGGGATGTTCTGAAATAGGAAATCCAACAAGCAAGGGAGATGGATCGGGATGTTCTGAAATGGGAAATCCAACAAGCAAGGAAAATGGATCGGGATGTTCTGAAATGGGAAATACAATAATCAAGGAAGATGGATCGGGATGTTCTGAAATGGGAAATCTAAAAAGCAAGGAATATGAATCGGGATGTTCTGAAATGGGAAATCTAAAAAGCAAGGAAGATGCATCGGGATGTTCTGAAATAGGAAATCCAACAAGCAAGGAAGATGGATCGGGATGTTCTGAAATGGGAAATCCAACAAGCAAGGAAGATGGATCGAGATGTTCTGAAATGGGAAATCTAAAAAGCAAGGAAGATGGATCGGGATGTTCTAAAATGGGAAATCCATCAAGCAAGGAAAATGGATCGGGATGTTATGAAGAGGGAAATCCAACAGGCAAGGAAGATGGATCGGGAAAAAACATGTATAAATGTGAGGAGTGTGACAGAAAATTTCCTTACATGAAGAACCTTAAAATTCACATGAAAATGCATAAGACTGAACGTCCCTATAAATGTGATAAATGTGAAAAGAGTTATGCGCAGATAAATTATTTGAACCGACACATGAGGTCACATGTGCCTCTTAAATGTGAAAAGTGCAATCAGGTTTTTTCACAGAGAAGCGCTCTGAAGAGGCATGTGAATGAACATAATCATGCAGATACCTATCCATGCAAGGAGTGTGGCAAAGAGTTCAGTTCATATGCTAGTTGCAAACTGCATGAACGTATCCACAATGAAGTTATCCCGTACAAATGTGATATCTGTGGGAAACGATGCAAGAATCTGCAATTCTTAAACCGACATTTGCAATCCCACAAACTCGGAATACCGGAACGAGAGTACAAGTTCACCTGTGATGTCTGTGGGAGACGATTTCATTTTGAATATACTTACACAATTCACATGCGATGTCATACAGGAGAAAGGCCATTCAAGTGTAAGGAATGTGACAAGGCCTTTAAAACAAAACATGCTCTGGTTGTACATGAGCGATCACACTTGGGGCTCAGGCTTTTCAAATGTGAAATATGCGGGGCTAAATATTCGGCTAAAGAACACTTAAAAAGACACACTAGGACAAAACACACTGGTGAGAGGCCGTACAAATGTGAACAATGTGACAAACGATTTTTCTCGAAAAGTGACCTCAAAACTCACTCGCTGACTCACACTGGCGATAAACCTTTTGAGTGCGGGGAATGTGGTAGGCGCTTTTTGTTGAAGACACAGTTGACGAGGCATGCCGTAGTGCATACTCATGCAAAGCCATTTCAATGCGATCAGTGCGGAAAGCTGTTCTCTTGTAAACAGTACCTGGTGCAGCACATCCAGCGACATACAGGGGAGAAACCACACAAATGCAAACTATGTGATGCAAAGTTTGTCACTCAAAGCCACCTATTGAGACACGAGGCAATACATGGTGGGAAAAAAACATGTACATGCGATGTCTGTGGTAAGAATTACCTCAGCAAAGGTTATTTAAGAATGCACATGATAACACATGAAAATGTAAAACGCTTTCAGTGTGGACAGTGTGGCAAAAAGTTTGCTTTCAAAGATAAACTAAGAATCCATCTGAAATTTCACAGTGGAATCAAGCCTTACACCTGTGAATTGTGTGACAGTAGTTACGTAACAAAATACCATTTAAAGAGACACATGGAAACACATAAAAGTGAAAAACCCTACCAATGTGACGAATGTGGTCAGAGCTACAGATTGCAAAGTAACTTTGAAACCCACAAGCGTTCACATGCTGGTGGAGAAGCGTACGAGTGTTGGTTGTGCGAACAGACGTACACTACAGTACGAGCTTTGAACTACCACACCAAAATTCACACTGAAGAACATCCTCACCAGTGTGAAGTTTGTGGGAAAGGCTTCAGTCAGAACCAGCATCTTAAAAACCACATGATAAGAAAACATGGCTATAAAAGTAAACCACGTGCTGTGAAACCGACTTGTAACATATGTGGGAAGCAGTGTACAAACCTTTCAAATCATAAAAAAATACGTCACAGTACGGAGAGACCATTCCAGTGTAAGTTATGTGATAATAACTACAAAATGAAGGCACACTTAGACAGGCACATGATTTCACATACCGGAGAGAAACGGCATAAATGTGAGAAGTGTGGTAAATGTTTCTTATTGAAGCAAGGTTTGATGGTTCACCTAAAAACACACACCGGGATAAAGCCATTTGTATGTCAGAAATGTGGCAGAAGATTTTTCTCTAAATGCATCATGCAAACACACGAGGCAATTCATTCGTCGGCCAGGCCCCATAAGTGTCCAGTGTGTGGCAAAGCATTTAAAGTCTCTCCTTACTTGAAGGTCCACATGCGAACACATGATAAAAAACAGCTGCACACATGTAAAGAATGTGGAGTAACTTTTAAGCGAGAAACTTCGTTCACCAAACACGTGAAACTACATGCCAAGGAGATTCTGGAGCGTGAGCAATATAAGTATCTGGTACGCTTTGAGAAAATAACCGATTTTATGAATGAATTGAATGGAACAGAAGTATTCCGTATTCGTTGGAAAAAGTTTAATGTTAAATGAGTAGATACAATCTTGTTTCTACTCACCCCCCAATACGAATAGTACTACATGTGTATAGCTGTGTGTATTGTTTCATCAATAGGTGATTTTCCGTACAATTGCGAGATCTCGCGAGATGCATGAAAGACGCGCGTCGAACGTCTGCCGCAAAAATCGAACGATTTGATTTTGAACTAGAATTTCTTTATTTCGTAGCTTACATCGATCGGCCGATCTTTGACAGAGGAATATTGCTTCCGGATACCCTTACTTAATCGAAATTGCCTATCATCAAATGTGAACAGCACATTATTAAGCATGGAAATGTCCCCCGAAATACTTTCGCGTTTGTCGAATCCCACGCGATGTTTGACGCGACTACGACGCTATGACCTTTGTTTGTCCTGTTTTACGTTCGATTTCACGCATAACGCGTGATTCTCGCAGTGAACGGAAAATGGTCTATTCAGTAAATGTTTAATATTTGTGTTACTATCTATTGTTACTTCACGTGTTAGGTTACACATATTGCGAGTGCATGTTTATGCACAGGTAGTGTTTGTAAAGGTGTTAGATTGGACGATACTTAATATATATATATAATGTCTGCAATGTCTGGGAAGACATACAATGACAACATTAGCAATAAATTAATTGTTGCTTATATTAGATAGTATAACAATTCATAAACATAAACATATTTTGGGTTATATTTAGATTTTTTTTTATAGAGTTCATAAACTTTTCAATAATAATATTCAATTTTTACACTTGGTTTTAAAGTTATTGGCCGACGACAATGTGGACACTATGACTCAAAAGAGATCTCACTAGAATACTGCTAGCCAGGACGCATGCAGTCCATATAAACATACGTGTTTCATTAATAATTCGATACATATGCGATAATATTGCACCATACTTGATCATGTTCAAGTAGCATTGATAAATCGGCTGAATAGCTTAATAGTTGTGATCATACTCTAATCATCATTATTTTTTACACGAATTGAGGAAGAACTCCATACCTCGTGTCGCATCGACTTGTGGTTGTTGCTAAGTTACAAAAGTCTGTTACAATCTACTTAAAACAATGTAGGTTTGCAGGAATAAACAAATAGTCACGTGACCAAGATCAGTTAAGATGAACAATAATATGAAGCATGGGCTTGAGTTAATCTTCAATTTACATACGATATTGGTATTATGAGATGACAGATTGTTTGGTCTTAAATATCTTTGTTTTTTTATTTTTGTTAGTCACTATGTGTTAAATATACTCTTTATTTGAGATAAGGTTAGAAAAAATGCCTAACTTCATAGATACTAGTAGTTAACTTCATTTTAATAGATGATTTATGAAAATGAGTAATTAATTAAATAATTCGCAGGAAAACAAGCTTGAAGTTTCCATAGTATTTTCAGATTAATGAGCAATACTATTACTTTCATGAAGATTAAATATTTTGTCAACTATTCAATGCTTTTAATATAGAGATTTCACAGATTTCATTGTAGCCGCATATTCCAATTTAAAATTGCTGTCCTAAATGTTTTTTCTAAAATAGCCTACCCTTTAGTTTTTGTGTAGAACTCGATGCCTGTTTTGATTTTATGGAAAGGGTTTGGAACACATTGCCCGCTGGTAATACATACTACGTTGCTGTTGATTGGCTAACATTTAAGCTACCGTCTTTCTCCCTTTATCACCTCCACTTTTGTCATGGCCTATGTAACTATATTATTTGAGGGCGAATGTCAGGAGAGAATGGAACATATTTTGGTAGGAGGGGCAAAGCATGTCCGAATATGTACGCAGCAAGTTCTACACAGTTTCACAAAAGACGGAATATATAAACTCATTTATCGTTTTATTTTTGTTTGGAGATATGCACGTTTTCAAGCAGTGAATTCAAGTTTTCAAATGCAATCATTGTAGTCAATATGGCCCATCACTGTCTGCCTTATATCTTATCTTACTTATATCAAACATTTTATTATTGTTTCAATTAACCTTAGGTGCGAATGGATCAATAAAGCCACAACACATGCCCGAACTCCAAATGGTGTTTCATTCTCTTACATTATAACGTTCTCGTTGTTTACCTCGCCTATGTAAAATTTGGAACAGAGAACTTGGTATCGGGGGGAAATGGCGCTCTATTCGAAAGAAAAAAACAAATCCCGTGGTCCTCTCGCTCCCAACGAGATTTCGTCCGCCATTTGTGTCTAAGGTTGATTGCCACTACATGATGTATTCTTAAAATATTTCGATAATTTTGTAAACGCTTTTAAAAACTTCAGTAACTAATGGCTTATTGACTTCGCTTACAGCCACGGTGTTCCAGTTTATCACTTAGCATTTAGATACGTAGGCTTGCGGTGTAATTGACATCATACTAGAATTCTTTTTGTATTTGAATATTATAAATTAGGAAATAATAATTTTGTTTACATTTTAGTACGTGGTGACACAAATGTAAATATAGATTAATTTGAAGTGGTAGTTTTATTAATAAAATATAAATCTAGCAGACAGAACTATATATTGTTGTGTGGTTTGTCAATCCAACAATGTACCAGTATAAAGACCTTCTGAATGGAGGATAATAATGTATTGCTTCCTTCTTGCATACTGTCACACGCAACGTAATATTACCGTAATTGGTATAGTACAGGTGTGATGGTTCAAATACCAAAATGGCAACAGTAACATAAAGACTTCCCTGGCGGCGATGATAACATACGAACACGGAGCCAACAGATGAGGTTTCAACTGGTACTGGTATTATTATACTCTGCAAACATCAAGTACAATAACGCGGTAAAACTCCAAACCTCCAATAACTAGATACTTAAACTCCAACACAATTCAACGAGATCTCCGATCTGAACTCAGTGCTGAACAACTCCCCTATATATACCTCCACTGTCTATAAATAGACCATTACATCAGCATACATAATGAGTCTGGAATTTACTATAAATTTCTAGAATGTTCCATTACCTTCTATTGCCTCCTACAGTGTTCTATTACCTATTCAACCAGTTTCTAAAAAAAATCTAGAATATTCCACCCAGACACAGTACGGTTCTAGAACATTCTCAGTGACACGGAAGTGGTAAATAAGTCGTATGCGACACATACATTCATTTGATTGTAAGCACGTACTAAAATGACAATTCTTAAAATCAATCTACTGTAGAATACTTTATTTTAGCTGAAATTAATTTTCGCTGAAAAGACATTTTGGGTGTTTTGTATGGAATTTATTTTCACTGATTTTGACGAGTTGAATGTAAAATATGGGAAAAAACGGTATATTTGCTGGATTTTATTTTCACTGAATAATTCCTTCAGCAAAAATATCAAAATTTAAAACCAAGCGAAAGTATTTTACAATAATTGAATTCCGAAGTATTTATAGAGCTCATTTTTGGCCTTAACTGCCATTTTTCGTTTGTTTGTTCTATTTTTGTCTGCAATTGTTATTTTTTGTTTTCATTAGATTTCTAAACTTAAAAGGCCAATAATAGCAAGGTAGATTGTTATAAATGTTATTGAGTTTAGCTATAAGACAAATATTTGCTTTTACAGTGGTGTCCTACATAAACGTGAATTACATTCATATTTGTCCTCTGTTACAATTATATTTTAAATGATTTTTTTTTTTTTTTTAATTTAAATTTGTATTTTTCTTTTTGCGGAAGCCCATGGTTCTGATCAACCATGGGAGATCTCGTTCAACTCTCGCAAACTTCAGTAACCAATCAGAGAAAGCTTTATTCATATGCAGCCATGGTTGAGATCGTGCATACTGTATACAAGGCCTTCTCTGATCGGTTATTCTAGATCTAACGAACGAGACTTTCTATATGGGTTGTTCAGGTCTTTAGGCGATCGCAGTCAGAAAAATCAAAAAAAGAAAAAAAAAACATGACTAAAATATAACAAAATTATCAATTAAATGTAGAAAAAAGGGAGATTTTGTGAGAGTGGGTTGTATGTATGATAAAGATTGTCGTATTAAAAGTGCTAACAAATATTTGTTCAGATAGAAACATTATGTTCCAAGGTAACCATTTTATAATTTGTCGGAACACGATTCCCAATTGGGTGCTACGAGTTTTAGATACGTTATTAATTGTCTCTTCGTGTTTTATAAACACAATGGATACCCATATAAGTAATATACTAGTAATCATTCCCTAAATAGAACATATGAGTTGACCCCCATAGAATAGATAACAATACGATAGAAAGCCAACACTAAGGTCGGTTATCACAGGTTTTCATAGCAACGCAACTTTAATTTGCCAATTAATAAAACTACAAATAAAACTGTAAATGCTGAAAAAATGCTGCGTTATGCATTATTGTGTTGAACATATACATTATTTACATGCGATTTTAAAATATACTAACAATACAGTAATCTAATAATTGCAACTGCAACCACTCTAACGTTTTTTCTTTCTTTCGAGAATAAAAACGCGATAAAATTACGAAATAACAAAATTACGCTCGCGAAATGGAGGAGTGGTCAGCATTTGTATTAGGTCTATTTGATTATGGTTCCACTAAGTTGAGTAGCAGAGAGACCAGTCTAAATAACACACAAATTATCATACACTTAGGGAGTAATGTGGGTTCAAGTCGGGCTGTCATTGCGTCAGAATTTGAGTCGTAATTTACTATCTACTAGATCAGTTCAAACAATGGCCATATTTTTTGATAGCTCAAAACCATTTGTTGAAAATATGAAACCTTTTTTTGCACCCGGTGTGTCACAAGCGGAAATTATCGCCACATACAATTCTCGTAAAGATACGTATGAGAAGGTAAGTCGATATCTATTCACGTCCGACATATGGTACGGTACAACATAAGTGTTCTTTTACAGTTTTATAATATGTATTTACGTCATATATGGCACGACTATTATCAAACAGTACGGTACTACATGATTACTAGTTTACAGTACGGCACGGCACGACTGAGTAATAATATTCAATACGATACGATACTATACGCAATGACTACTGTGAAACCATTTATTTTCACTGACATTTAATTTCACTATTTTGATGTTTTGATCATATTCACTGTGTTTTAATTTCACGAATTTGTCAAGAAAACAATAAGTGTTATTAGTAGATTTAATATAGTGAATTTTACTTGTCAGCGAAAATAGCGACATTAAAACCCGGTGAATAATTAATGCATTTACCCTGAGAAAACTAATAATTTATTAGTTGTCTGAGATTTACAGTATTATTGGGGGGTTAAAGGGCGACGCATTGTCGCGAGATCAAGGACGGTTATGTACGCATGCGTCTTGACCAGTCAAGTGGGCATCCTCGTTCGAGCTACACATCAAAAGTGTTCTCCGTGAACACCATCGGTTGCGAAAGGCATCACACAAGAGGGTTGGCAAGGGGTATTTTCGTAAGCTGTAATCAATTGTTTTTATTTTCGTAATAATGTAATTTAAATGAATAAAAAAACGTAAATTCGTAAAAATGAGCAAGGTGTAAAATATAATCAGATTTATTCGACCGTAACTTATACAAAGATCTTATTTTTTGTAAGTGTATAAAGCATTTTCCACGTTAAATGTCGCAATAATTACGCATTTTCCAATTTCCATTCTTAAACAAAAATTATCAAGTATATTATAAAAATGTAATTTGCTTTATCTGTAAAGAGTAAAAACCTATTTTTTACTGTAAATGGAACTTTCATTTTATTTCCTGTATTTAGGTCATCGCCAGTTAATATTAAAATATGTATGTATTATTAGAAACTTAAGTGGCTTATTTACTTTATACCTAAATTTGTAAAGGTAGGTAGACGTTAAACACCATATTGCCTGGCTTCCTACCTCCAATTCCAGCTCCAAACTCCAATCTTTTACAGTGTGTGTTTTGTGTCAACCACAAATAACTGCAAGTAATTGATAGATTGCGCAGTTTCTACTTCTCGGCTCTGAAAGAGTAAATAGAATTGCAACAGTATATTGGCTGTTGCACAGATCAACGAGTACAAACTGGGACGTTACCAGCCTTTAGTAAGATATTTTTAGGTGATTGGAAGGTATCGACGGAGTCACCGGCGGTAATTAGTGCAAGTCGCGCCAAGGTCAAACCTCATACTTGTGATTTCCATTAGAAGAGCGCATTGGATTTTGGGAAATTTGATGTTTATCAACACAAATGTCGCACGTGCGCAGCGTGACAACTATCGCCCTTCAACAAAACATCGTGGGAAAACAACATGTACGTGATTCTCTATCAATATGGTGACACATACACGTATAAGCAACCCTAGCGTGCAGGAGTGTGTGTGTGTGCGTGGTTTGGTTCCTCGGGTCAGGGTTAGACTTGCTTGCAGTCTGTTGCGATTCCGATGAAAAATTCTTGAAAAATAAATACAAATTGCGTAAACGAGGGGTGAACGCGAAAGTCATGTGAACGCGAAATCCCAACAGACTTGCCATCAGTGTAAGCGCCCTCACATTACCGGCCAGATTCGGGCTTGTAATGATTGGAGGATTGACATGTCTAATATGTTTCAACCAATCAGAAGACAGGCTAATTAACATATCAACTGAGACCCCGGAAAACATACACACTTTCTTGGATAAACCATGGAAGGTATAAACTTAGATCCCGAAAACTTTACCTACTTTCTCATATCCGAATCGTATATACCATTTTATTTTAGATTGAATTTCAAAAAAACGTACAATGTTATCAGGAGAATGTTTGGAGCTAGCCTTAAAAGTATTAGGATACCAAAGCTTTCGTCGATATCAATGAGAGGTCGTGGGGGCCTACTCAGATGGCCGAAACGTTTTCGTGTCTGCGCCTACAGGCAGTGGAAAATCACTGACTTTTGAAATGGCACCGTTTTGTATCGACTACAGCCGTTGTGGTGAGTTTAAAAAATGTTCGCCTGTCGTCCCCTGCCTTTATGGTGTCATAACCGCACACAATACAGATAATTGTTTGCGTTCTCGAAGAAACGATGGTTGTTTTACTCAATTTTGTTGGCGTCAACATCTCTTTTTACCTCTATGGCTTCAACTAGGTTATGATACTGGCTCGGCTGCTCTACCCACTGTTTGACCTGGTTATGGTCCGTCGATCGCCTGCTCCACCCACTGTATGACGTGTATGCAAATTTACAAGCCCGAGTCTGGCCGGTAATGTGAGGGCGCATACACTGATGGCAAGTCTGTTGGGATTGACGCAGTTTATATTTACGCAATTTATATTTATTTTTCAAGAATTTTTCATCGGAATCGCAACAGACTGCAAGCAAGTCTAGGATAGGGTGTGATCACGGGGATCGCTTGATCGTATGATCACAATCCTCGACACAGAGTCAAGTCGTCTTGGCAAGTGGCTATCCCGGCAAACAAGACATACCCGTAAACTCATCTAGGCAGGTTTTTAGTCAACGCAGCAATATTGACTCCAATTTGTTGTCCTCCACTAGTATTTGATGAACATTTATTATATAATTACAGCGCCATCACAACAATTCTTTATATCCATCATGTTTCCATGTATTATCTAGTGATATACAGTGTAGAGGAATGGATAAATTCTTAATAAATAAATAAATCTTTTTTTTTATTTCGGTAGGATAACCCGCCAGATTTGTATAAAGCACCTACAATTACTGCTGAGAAAACCACTGAGGTTGTATTTAATAAGTGTGCCCGGATACTGGATGTTGGCTCCGGGACGGGACTGGTAGGCGAAGAGGTGTGGTCATTTTTTTAAATAAACCAAAATTGATTGACTGATCTACATTTTTTGGTTCATTCATAGTTTGTTTTTTGTTTTTTTTTTTTATTTTTTTAAATATATTTTTGTGCCAGGCGACAGTTCTGGACATTGAATGTCACCGTTGTCTCTCCTGACTTTTTTTTTTTTGTATGTGTAAATTGCAAGTGCTAGTGCTGACACATAGTGTCATTTTGCCACAGAAGTCATATTCATGTTTGGGACTACATGACAGGGCTGTGTGGCCATCTCTCTGTCAAATGGCAATTTTAATGCGCTATCCTGGCGTCAACCAGGCTCGGTCGAACACAAGCACCTGCGGACCTTAACAAAGGTTCCCCCAAAGTCGCATTCGTTAGTGAATGAATCTCGGCCAGTGGAATTGGCCTTCCCATTGAGTCTATGGCACACTCACCCAGGGTAGGGGTTGACCCTTTGATGTTCAGCCTAAGGTAGGATTTGAACATGGGTCTACCGATCATGAGTCTGGAGCGACAACCACTATGCTACCAGTGACCGGTTCATTCATAGTTATCAAAGCGAGGTTATTGCAATGTGGATGCGTTGGAACCTTCCATGGGATGTATTGAGACTGCACAGAAAAAGAAAGTTTACAAAAATATCATGTGTGATGTACTTGGCGGGAAAAAAGTGCAGATTGAGAATGGTAATGGAATGGTTTACGAGCACCACCTCTTTTTTAGATCTCTAAAATAGTTTATCTAAATGCACAATGGCTACAATGAAAAGCAATATATCAATTTTTGACACTACAGTTTTAAGTGTTCTTCATTCTTGTCTTTAGGTGAATGGTATCCATTGTATCGTTAATTCACTGCAAGCAAAAACAACTCCAGTTCGTTAATTATGCACATACCAGGTTCTCTTACACGTCTTTTTACTAAATGTTTTACTAAATGATACCTTTCTACACACAGGGTCTTACGATGCTGTTGTTTGTTGTGGCTCGTTTATGCCAAACTTCATTCCACCCTCGGGGATTAAGAAACTTGTGAGAATAGCTAAAAGTGGTAGGTTGCACTGTCTTGTAAATTTAGGATTCTAAAATTAATGGCTGATCATTTAATTTAGAAGATTATCACAAACTTGATTCAGTCAGGTTAAGAGATTTTTAATTATTCTCTAACGAATATGATGAGTATACTTTTTCTTCTTTTATAGGTGGGTGTGTCGTTATTTTATTGCGGCGTGAATTTTGTTACGAAGGAAGCTATGGTCAAGAATTGCAATTATGTATTGATGAATTGAAAGAGTCGAAAGAAGTTGAAGTGATAGAGATACAAAATGCGCCATATAGAGTTGGTGTACCAGGAGTCTGTGTCGTATTACGGGTTACATAGTGTGTATTGACAGGAGTATGTGTCGTATTACGGGTTACATAGTGTGTATTGACAGGAGGCTGTGTCATATTACGGGTTGCATAGTGTGTATTGACAGGAGTATGTGTCGTATTACGGGTTACATAGTGTGTATTGACAGGAGTCCGTGTCGTATTACGGGTTACATAGTGTGTATTGACAGGAGTATGTGTCGTATTACGGGTTACATAGCGTGTATTGACAGGAGTCTGTGTCGTATAACGGGTTACATATTGTGCAGTGACAGGAGTATGTGTCGTATTACCGGTTCTATAGTGTGTATTGACAGGAGTATGTGTCGTATTACGGGTTACATAGTGTGTATTGACAGGAGTATGTGTCGTATAACGGGTTCATAGTGTGTATTGACAGGAGTATGTGTCGTATAACGGGTTACATAGTGTGTATTGACAGGAGTCTTTGTCGTATTACGGGTTACATAGTGTGTATTGACAGGAGTCTGTGTCATATTACGGGTTACATAGTGTGTGTTGACAGGAGTATGTGTCGTATAACGGGTTACATAGTGTGTATTGACAGGAGT